TAATAAAATTGATCCTTATTCTATCCTTCCTTGACACTCCACACATCCATCTCAACATTCTCATCTCTGCCACTTCCATGTTTCTTGTGCTCTTGTTATTGTCCATGTCTCAGCTCCATATAACATTGCAGGTCTAACAACTGATTTATACAATTTTCCTTTCAGATTGCAGCTAACTTTCTTCTCACATAACACACTACTCAGCATCCTCCAGTTTATCCATCCAGATTGAATTCTATGTTGCACCTCCAAGTTCAATCCTCCTCCCATCTCGACAAATGTCTCAAGATATTTAAAACTCGGAACAAAAGGGAGCGGCTCATTTTGGATTTTAATATTACACTCATCTCTACCATTCAGAGTCATATAAGCTGTTTTAGTTCTGCTAATCTTCATGTCCCTTTCTTCCAAAACTTTCCTCCAATCTTCTGGTTTCTATCTCAGCCTTGGTTTGGGAAAGTTCACATCATCCGCAAACAGCATACTCCACAGAGTCTCACACTTCACGTTACACACCAACACGTCCGTTATCAGGTCAAACAAATAAGGGCTAAGAGCCAATCCTTGATGCAAACCAACATTAACGAAGAACCCTTTTGTAGTGCTCGCACTACTCTTAACTTGGGTCTCTGTCCCCTCGTGCATTTCCTTGACAAGCCTAACATATTTTACTGGAACATTTTTTTCCCTCAAACATCTCCATATCTCTTGCCTTTATCCCCTATCATATGCCTTTTCTAGATCTATGAACACCATGTGCAAATCTTCCTGCATTTCCCTGTGCCTTTCCATCAGCTGTTTTAGAGCAAAGATAGCATCAGTCGTACTCCTTCCCGGCAAAAAGCCTAACTGTTCCTCTCCAATCTCAGATTACTGTCTAATCCTTCTTTCTACAATTTTCTCCCAAATCTTCATAGTATGGCACAATATCTTTATACCTCTGTAATTTCTGCAATTCTGTACATCTCCTTTACCTTTAAAGATCAGCACAAGAATGCTCTTCCTCCATTCATCTGGGATCTTCTCCTGCTGCCAGAGTTTCTTCATAAGGTCCCAGAGGATATCAATTCCCTCTTTACCCAAACCTCTCCAAGCCTCAATCGGAATCAGATCAGTGCCTACTACTTTCCCCATCTTCATTTTCCTAAGCACACTTTCCACTTCTCTGCTAATATCTTACACCACTCCTTCATTTGCCTCTCCATTCTCATATGAAGTTCTGGGATTTTCTTCATTCAATAAATTTCTAAAATATACTTTCTATTTTTCCTTGACCATTTTGTAATCTTGTAATACCACTTCTTTATCATTTTTAATCAGTTTAATACAGGTAAAATCTTTTGATGCCTTATCTCTTGCTTTGACAATTCTTACCAACTGCCTCTCACCACCTTTCCTTTCAAAATCTTTATAAGCCTCTTCAAAAGCCTTTGCTTTCAACTAGCCACTGGCTTTTTAGTCATTTTATTTGCCAAATGGTAAGTTTCTTTATCTTCAGGCCTTCCCATCAAATCTCCTTTTTTCTTTGCCTCTTTCTTTTGTTTGCTGATTGTACCTCAACATTCTACTGCCAAAGTTCCTTTCCTTTTGGCAATCTCTTCTCTGAAGTTTTCCCCAAAACCTTTTTTCCAACTTTCAAAATGCAATTACTATTCAGCAACTACCATGTTTGCACATCATCTGGGAACTGGATTTCTTTTAATGCTTTTATCTTAAACTCTCCTTAATTCCTCCTCTTTCAATCTCCACCATTTGATGCTTTGCTCAATCTGGCTAACACAATTCTTACAATGGCCCAAAAGAAAGTCACAAACCACCAGGAGAACTCTATGTTGTGCAGCAAAACTTTTTCTATTTAACATCTTACAGTTTCTCACTTCACTCAGGTGTCTCCTGCAGCATATGAAAAAAAATCTGGCTAGATCTACCTCCACTCATGTATGTAACCACTTGATTCACTTTTTTCTCAAAGTAGGTGTTAACTAGCGCAAGGTCAAAATGCCATAGCATGATCAACTAGTCTTTCTCCCACACTCTACCTCCCAAGAACTCTTCTTTCCGCATTCTTTCTCTTCCTAACATGACCATTTAAATCACCCCCACAGATTAATCTCTTGTTCATAGGAACACACATTATAACCTGGTCAAGATCTGTCCAAAAGTTTATCTTTTCTTCTTCTCCACTGCCTGGCTGAGGAGCGCGCGCGCACACACACACACACACACACACACAATTGTAATGAAAATTTCACCAACATCCAATTTCATAATTCTATCACACCTTCGTTTAACCTCACAGACTGTCTTTCAGAACTTTATCAATTATGATACCAACTCCATTCCTTCCTCCTTTATTTGCTCCACTCACAAACAGCTTGTACCCTTCACCAAGTTCTTTAGCTTTATTTCTTTTCCATCGTGTTTCTTGCGGCACAAAATGTTCACTCTCCTTCTTTGCATAAGATCAACCAACTCTCTACTATTCCCATTCAATGTTCCAATGTTTAAAGTGTCTATTCTTATACTTGTCTTCTTCCTGTTCTCTTTATGGACTAACTTCATTATCTGAACCCATCCTTGGTTCTGTAGCTTCAGCTCATTTGACAGTTTTCTGGCAACATGACTGCGCATCGCTTCAGGGGGACGCCCTAACACAGTTATAACTTACTTGTAGTCTAGCAGACATTCCATGTAGTTTTGGCATAGGTTTTGGCATAGGTTTTATGGCTGGATGACCTTCCTGACACAGTTATAACTTACTTGTAGTCTAGCAGACATTACATGTAGTTTTGGCATAGGTTTTATGGCTGGATGACCTTCCTGACACCAACCCTATTTGTTATAAGGCTAAATATATATATATAATTTATTCTAATATTCAAACCACAGCATTTATCCTATTTCTTTATTGTGCACAAACAAATTAAATGTATTGAAAAAGATAAAAACAAAAAAAATTATATTTCAGAAGTTAATCTAGTATCAAAAACGTTCTGATTCAGCATGACACATGTCCTGACACACAGTCCTCAGAAAAACACCACACAAAACAAGCAAAGCTCACCACTCATGATGGGAAAAAAAAACCTTGTTCAAATACTGGCATGTCAAATACTCTCTCATGGTCATGCCAGTGCTGCCAGCTAAAACACACACACCAACAAAAACAATATTGTAGTAGCCCAAGACATAGCCAAATATTGCAGTGCCACAGCACTAGTGGAAATTTGAATTTGCCGACTGGAATGCTTTCAGTTAACTAATGTTTCGGTTGATTGGTATTTGGATAATCGATGCTCTACTGTACCTTTCATTTAGTTTTGATGAAGAAAAATCCTTTTGAAGATGGAGAATTCTAAAACTCTCAGGCAACTATGTTTTATTTGAACAAGTTGTATATAACTTAAAAGGTGGCACATTCTGTTGCCAGTTTGGTATCACTGTCCACATGCATAGCAAGTGATCAGTTGTTGTAATACAATTGGATAATGCAAGAAGTCACTATTGATACTTAGTATGATATTTCTGTAATATGTATGATATGTTTAAGAAATTGAAATGATATTGTTAAAGAAAACACAGTGAACTCTGATCAAGTTTTAGAAAACATACTAAACTGAGAGTTTGTCACTCTTCTCTAACAACTAATTAAAGCAATTAAATTAACAAGCAATTAAATAACAACCAAACCAACAAAAAACCTCTAAAATGCAGCTTTTTATTAACTTTTCAAACATTTTCGGCCATTTGAATGACCTCCTTCAGGAATAAAATCAAATGATTCCGATTTCTATAAAACGAAGTTTGTTATGGAAATCTGAATCATTTGATTTTTATTCCTGAAGGTCATTCAAATGGCCTGAAACATTTGAAAAGTTAATAAAAAGCTGCATTTTAAAGGTTTTTTTTATTGAGGTTTGTCTGGTGGTATACTCCAATTACAGAATAGAGGGCATTACAATGCTTTTACATTTGTGCTTCCATTAAATTTTATGTGCTGCAGTGTTTTTAATCAACTGTTCCATCTTTTGAGAATGTTTAGTTCTTGTCTTATCTCCAAGTGACACTTTCCCATCTTTAGATCTTATCAGAATGTTCCTGTCCTTTGAAAGTCTAGTATCAATATTTTATATTTCAGTGTTTGACAATAGTAGATATAAAGTAGCTAAGACTACAGTAATTAAGACTAAATGAGCAGCCACTTCCTATTCAGATACCTATAAACTTATAAAGCTATGAGGCAAGCCTATTTTGCTGTTACAGCTACCTTGTCTTTGATACTTCCATATCATCATTTTGCTGTGAAACCTATCAAATCAATATTTTGAAGACCAACCTCTGTCTTCATTTCATCTGAATGACCCTGTGTTTTTTGAGTTTGTTTAAGCATGTTGTTTACTTTGTGCAATTTTTATCTGTTGAGCTTTTTTAAACTTTAATTTAGAACTGAAGATTATTCATGTGATGATTTTAAATATCACATGAATAACTTGTAAGAATAACAGTTTTTACATAGGTGAAACAAAAAGAACATTAAAAACACGTGTTAAAGAACACATATCCGATTTAAAATATAGTCGTCTGAACTCCGCTTTTTATGATCATTGTGTAATCAATAATTGTAATATAAACCAATCTAATATTCAAATTTTACATAAAGAAAAACGGATTTATGACAGAAAATTTAAAGAAAGTGTGGAAATATTACGAAACAAAAATCAAGGCTGTATAAATAAAAACTTAAGTGTTAAAATTCATGAAAACTGGTTGAAAACTAACTAAATAAAAGATTCAACTAGCCCAGTGTTGAGAAAAACGTCACTTCATTGTGCCAGTACACAACAAGCAAATACAACACGGTTTCGACAACATCAACAGATTTTAAATATGTTTTCTGTTAATTTGACATTATTACTGCTATAAATTTTTTATATTCTGTTTTGCAAATATAAATCAGTGTAAGTTTGATTATTTTCACTAACATTGTTTCTATTTCTTAGCAGTGACATCAGTAACAGTAGTAAATGTAGCTCAGTGGGGACCATATCCTACTCAAATTACATGTCCTCATTGTGGAGTTCAAGTATTGACTGAAACAACAGCCAGAATAGGACTTCTTACTTTGCTGTTATCTGGAGCTTTAGTATTTCTTGGGTAAATATTTCATTTTGAATAATTGTAATAATTATTTAAATGTTATAAATGTTTCATAAAAAATTATTTGAATTTTTGTATTTAATTACTTGGATAAATAAGAATTAAAATGAACTTCAGTCACAATATATTTTCATGATTAAAAAAATTAAGTATTCATAAAAATTTGTTTTGTGAATCTGATAGTATTTATAGCTTTTTTATTAGAAACATCAGCAAAATAATTTAATCTATAGTTATACTTGTATTTCTTTTCTTAATTTTTTAATGATCACATTCTTTTTCCAATTAATAATGTATAAAATAATTTACAAAAAAAAACTAAATGTCATAAAAAAAAGAAACAAGATGCCCACCTGTTAAAAAACCCAGAAATTTTGAGTATCAGAAAAAGCCTGAATTTTGTTATTGACTGCAATTTGTTTATTTATATTAAAAAAGAATGAGGTGACTTCTATTTATACAAGTTTTACCCTAGTGACTATTTAAAAGCTATTCATTATTATCCAAAATGTCTGTGCATAAAGGATTGTCCAGTTTGCTACTTATTGTTCATGAGCACATTCACTTTTCATTGAATATTTTAATCTTTTTATTTGAACAAACAGTATTAAATGTCCTTTACTGCAGTTTTTTTGAATTGAGTACATTTAAAAAGTTAATGTGTTTTTATTAACTTGAAAATTTATTTTTTTACAATGACTAAATAATACTGCAAATTTGAGGGATTATTATAATATATTTCTTTGGTTCTAAGATGCACTGAGTTTATAGATGAATTTTAACATTATTTTTCTCTTATAAAGGAAACATTTTAAAATGGTCTATTCTGTTGGTCAGTGTTAGAGTAGATGCTGAGACATGTTCTTGTCTTGCTTTATATTTTGCATAAAACCAATGTCAATACAGTATATATGCCTGAACATTTGAATTGAAAAATTCAATACTTACTGAATTTTGCAAAAAATACAAACACATTTGGTAATTTGGAACCAATCGGTTCCATAGATGACAGATTAACAAACTTCTACTAAAATAATTTTTTTAAATAGCTCTAAGATATTATTTCATTTGTGAAAAATACAGAACATGTCAGAAATAAATCAGAATTTTATTTACAAACTAGCTGTTAACCACGACTTTGCCTGCCAGGATTTTGCAATTTGATAGAAATAACCCTCCCTCGGTACTTCACTAAGATTCTCACTCATACAGAAATTTAAGCATATGATTCCAATTAATATTTGTTTAATCAGCCAGCAACTACCAGATTATATCACAATTGTTTTAAATTAATTACTAAATAATTTGTTACTAGAGGGAGGCATTAGGTGCCATCTCTTATTAAATTTAATAATTATAGGTAAATTAAATAATTTCAAAAATTCTGGAAGAAAAAAATCTACCTGGAGTGGGATCTACTGGCAGTCTACTGGCAATTCATCCACACGGTAAGCAGCAACTGCTGCTTACCGTGTGGATGAATTGCCAGTTATGCTACTTGAGCCTCCAGTCTGATCTCGGGAGATGGGACTCAGAACTCGCATCCACATGGTAAGCAGCAGTTGTGGGTTAGAGTCCTACTCCAGGACAATTTCTTTTCTTCCAGAATTTTCTAAATTATTTTATTTAACTATAATTATTAAATCTAATAAGAGACAGCATCTAATGTCTCCCTGTAGTGACAAATTATTTAGTGATTAATTTAAAATAATTGCAATATAATAACCCACTATAATTTGGTAGATACTGGTTTATGTATTTGTTTTAATCTTTTTTAAAATTCATCATCAGAATGTTAGAAAAGTCATCAGAATCAATTATTTTAAAAAGTTTTAGAGCTTTTTTCGCAGCACCATGTCAGGCCAAGACTGATGAAAGGACTATATTTTACTACATTCTCTTGTCTCTGTTGTTAAATTACTCTTCTGTATTTCACTGTAAATAGAGAAATTTCAGTTAATTGGTGCTTGATTAAATCAAAAACTAAAATATATCATTAAATATATCAATGGATAAAGAATGTTTATATAATCTATAGTTCTTGTAAAGCAACTTTAAACTTTAACATTTTTTTTATATGTAAGTCTATACTCTGGGAAAAAGTCCTTTCAATTAATTCATCAGTAAGTTTCATGTGTATTGATGAAATTAATTTATCAAAAAGACTACACAAAAGTAAATGTAGTTAATTATTAGTAATTAGCTTACTTCTTACTTGTTAGTAATTGAATAGTTTTACTTTTAAAATTATTCTCAGTATTTTCAGAATTCAATAAAAAAAAACCTGTTTTTAAACTTCAACCAAAATGATTATGTGGTACATTATTTTAAGAATTTTCATTTGTAATTATTTACTGTAAAACTAACATCTTTTTCACTTAAATCAAAATTGTTGATTTGTTTTAACAAGTAATTAACATAAGGAAAACTATGTTATATTTGATATATTTAAAATAACTAACTGTATAAAAATAATTTAGTACTTGTATTTGAAAATGTTTCATGATAATCTTTTTAACTGTAAGTTGAAAATAACAATAATATACAAAACTAAGACTTGTAAATAATAGTTTGAAATGTTTGATAGTTATAATTTTAAATGATACCTTCCTAGGATAGGCTGCTGCTATTTTTGTATTGTTGATTTATTTAACATTGAAATTGTGAGATTTAGCCAGGGGTACGGAGTAGTTAATACTCTTGTATCACTTACTCGGCGGCTAGTTGGTAAAACTAGTTCTCGGAGTTTCGGATCGAGAGATCCAATCTCTAAATCTTTTTCTAGGAGGGCTATTAATATTTAAACCGATCTGAACTGTGAAGTCCCGATCTACGTCAGGATTCCTGTGCACCAGTTAATCAAACTTAGATACGCGGATTAACATGCGTGTGAGATAATATTGATGTGATTCAGACAAAGATGAGACATTTCTTTAAACAAATAATGAAAGATTTAATAAAATAAAAGTAAATAAAATTACACAAATGGAATTATTCAAAAGTAAAATGAATCGAATGAGAGACAATGGATTAACTAAATATACGCTTCGAGAGAGAGAGCTCACAAATTCATTTATAATCACACTACCTCAAATTACTTTGTCTTTATGTTCATCTGTATTCGATGATCCTACTTCGTTGCATGGAGAGGTCTTGATTTGGCACAATATTAAAAGTTCTTCTTTTACTCCTAAATTAACTCATTATTAGACTTGACTGTATACGAGTATGGACGTTGGCCTTATGGAGACAATATGTGGGAGACGTCTCTCCTTGACATACTCCTAACTAAGGACGTTGGCCTTAGGGAGACAATATGGGAACGTCTTTCCAATCTGAGATTCCCCGACGTACTCCTCGAATCCTGCCGATCTTTGACTATATCTCATGATTTGTGACCAATCAGCTTATTTGTCTTCACTCACATGAACGGATGAAAAGGGGAATTATTGAGGGGTCGACAATTCCCAGTATGGTGAGATTTGTGATAGACAAGTGGAAAAACAAAGTATGCTTCAACTTCCGTTAAAGGAAGTGGCTCTTTTATCAGTTTTCCCACGTTAGAAAAACGATATTTTCACACTAAAATGAAATAATATTTTACTGTATAATTTGAACGTTATATTTAAATTGTTAATTAGACCCAGGGGTAATTCGGATCTCACAAAATTAGTCTTTCAATGTTAAATAAATTTCATTAACTTTAAATACAGGTTTTTGTCTATCATTTTACTGTTAACTAAAAGTGAATTAGTATGAAGTATTAGAAAAGAAAACAATAACTTTTATTGATTTTAACAGATGCTGGTTAGGCTGTTGCCTTATTCCCTGTTGTATCCCAGAATGCCAAGATATCGATCACCGCTGTCCTAATTGCAAAGCTCAACTAGGCACATTTACTCGTCTGTAATACAGTTAACCACAAGTCCATCCTTTGGGGAGGACGAGCGTCGTCAAGAGAGAGATTGATTACCGTCTTTGTGCCTGTCCTCTACGTGATCTTAGTATTTCTATTTGGCAACAAACGTTGTTTAACGAAAGAAGGCATATTTAAAATATAAATAAAAATCTATGTCATACGAATTTATTTGCTTTTAAAATATGGAAAGAAGGAAGTGCATTTCCATTATCCAGTCAGAAAATATTAGCATGCACAATCATATAATATCATGTAATTACATTCCGTATTATTCCTGTATAAAATTATTTTTATCCATAAAGTGCGAGTTAAAAGCATTTTAATTTTTTATTGTAAAAATGTTGTGCAGTTACTTTCTATAGTGTGCACATCATTCTTCAATGGTATTATTTATCAGTATACTTAACCGTGTGATAGAAAATGAAAATTATAGCATATAAGTCAGAAAAAAAATTATAATATGTATTTATTCTATGAAAAGAATATGTGAAAAATTGCATGGTTGAAAATTCTCAATATATTTGGTAATATAAATTTTATATTACGACTTGCATGCAATGACACAAAATAGATTTGCTCATAGAAAATAGCTACTGTATTACAATTTAGTCCTTGCCACCTCAAATTTTCATCTTTATACAGTTTTGATCGAATGTGAAATGCAAAGTGTCAAAAATATACCTTTATTTTTCTTGGTCCAAAAAATCTAGTCTGTGTGAATTTAAGAACTTGTACAGAATTTATTTAAATAAAGATTTGGACCATCCTATTGATGTATTTCTTTAATTATCTAAATTTTAATTAAGCTGACTTTTTTCCTAACTTTACTGTAACAATTTTGTATTGGATTGTCTGAAAAGTTTGTGAATTTCTTTTATAAGATATGTAGAAAGAAAACATGAATGGTTCCTAACACATACTTTAAACGTAATAATATGCTATAGTATATGTAAGAGAAAGGTGTGTAAAAAATTTAAGAGGTTGCAGAGGGGTTAAGATATCACTGGGTATTAGAATATTTTTAAATTTTTTCTATAAAAAGTACTAAAATTGACTAAACTCAAATATATACAGGTAGCAGAATTTAAAAATATGAATTTTAGAAAAACAATACCAGTCATCTTGAACAGATGCGTGCATTCGTGTCCCCAGAATTTAAACCAGTGAATAATAAGCTGAAACAATCCTGTTAATTACATTTTGCAGTTTTCATTCCCCTCTTTTAAATTTTCTGCAGTTAGACTCTGTTCTTGGTTTTATTTTTTCATTGTTCTTCTATTGACTGTTTTAAGACCAAATTATGTTATAGAAGCAATGAAAACCAGTCATAAATAACTTGTAGCCAATAGAAAGGCAGTGAAAACATTAATTAGCCAAATTACTAAAAAAATCAACTGATATCCAAAAACTATCCGAGATGTAAAAAGTTATTGTGCCAAGTAAAAATTATGGCAGCCAAAATATAAGTCAAATTTCTTCTTTGGTAAAGATTAGCTTGGCGCTTTGAAGCGGTACCATAAGCTTTTACTTTCCTAGCTGTTATGTATACATAACATGGGAAAGTATTTGAATTGTGTCAAATTTGACCCTCCCGACTTTTTTGTAAATCTTTACGTTTTGAGACACCCTAAAACCAAAAAATGAAAAATTTCTTGAATATGGATGTGTATTGGCGTCGATTTTGTTTAATATCTCTGGATGGGGGTAGCTTGTATATAAGGGGCAGTGATGCTATGAAATTTTGAAGGTTATAGGACAATTGTGTGGGGAGATAGAGGGGAATCATGTGTCATATCTCGAGTGATCAGACGTAATGAATATTTTACTTATGAACACGTACAACTTTTTATAACATCCATGTCTATCTTCGAAATTAAGCTTTTTGCCATTTTATAATAATTAATTATATAAAGTTTTTTTGCCGGGAAAGTTATGCAACTCGCTGGATTTTTTATTATTGTCTTTGTACTTTGCGTTCTTGCTTTAGTAATATGGTGAAGCTTTTGAGAACTAATTTCAAAGACATTCATTACTTTTCGTACACATTGAAAGCCAGTTAAACTACTAAGTGGTAGCGTTCCATACAGGATTCGGGATCAAATTCTGGTCGAGACTGCTGCAAAAACTTTTCTATCTAGAATCCAGCGGTGCATCATTCTCCATCCTACACCCGTGCTGCAACGGTGGCTAAGAGGTTAATTAGCGGCCGGATGGCCTAGCGGTTATAGGTGACAGACCACCACTCTGGGGGACCCGGGCTCGAATCCGACCAGGTCAAAAAACCCCAGGAATCTTTTGGGGGTGGTCTGCTCGGATATGTCAGGCCCCGTCCTTCATCACCCGGTCGCCCCATTGTGGGCCTGGCCGAACCCATAATGGGTCTGCTATTTGAGGCCCTATTAGTGCCCACAGGGCGGAAATAGTTAAAAAAAAGTATATTAATTATACTTTCTATTTGCAAAATTTCCTCAACTTCAACACAAAATAAGAAATCCGTGAATTTTTAAGAAATTTGCGAGTTTTTACCGGATGAGAAGAATTTCCCGGGTTAAAAAGCAGCCTGGATCCTGTTGGAGAAACCCTAGTAGGAACGGTGCGACCGCACAAAGCCCCGCGATCCTGCACGATCCAACTCTAGGAAATTTAAAAACTGATCATTCCATTATTCGCTAATTCAAATAATTTTCGCTAGTCTATTTAAAGGATGACGTTTACCTTCAAAATATTTTGTTGTTCGAAACTGTTCTTTTTTATTATATGAATGCCACGCACAAGTTTGAACCAGTTTGTTTGTTTAGTTATGGCAGAGTCGGTAGATTAACTGGTCTTTCGACTTCTTATCGCTCGTTGCTAAAATCAACTAGAGACAAATGTTACCACCAGGGGCACTGCAAGAGCGCTAGATAGAATCGCTGTGAGGACGAATGTTTTTTTATTGAAAGATATATAACCTTCCAGTTCGATTTCATAATTTTTTATATGCATTTTATTATAAGAATGAAAAAGCTTTTATTTAAACCCAAAACCAGGTTTATGGATAAATAAATGACACTTAATAAAACATTAAACACCTTCTATCGCTGAGAAATGTTTATTTAATAAAACACTAACATTTTCAGCCTCATGGAATAAACTATCCTCAGGTGTAAATGAGTTCGAACGTATTTTATTAAATAAACATTTCTCAGCGATGGAAGGTGTTTAATGCTTTATTAAGTGTTTTAAAAACGCTGATTTTATATTTAGTTAAATAAATGACAAGGAACAAAACTGACACAATAGTATTATTATTATTAAATTGTGCTATTATGTGAATTTATTATACGTTAAAAATTTATTGTACATACAAACAAATTATATTATACATATTAATAATAATTATTATTATTATTATTTGCGTTATTAAAATTTACTTTAAGTGAGAAATTTTTCTATGGTTTTTACTTTCAACTGATGAAATAAATGATTGATTAATCGTTCGCGTGAAAAAATGCAATCGACAAGTAACAAAAAAGTGCAAAAATCTGGAAGTCAAGTAGGACTTGTGACCAGCATTGTCACATCCTATCATCAATGTAACAGAGCACTGATTTAATATATTATCCATTATTGAAAAATAAACATCCATGTTTGGGTTTGTTAATTTTTCGCATACTTTGCTTTCTGCCCAGTACATCAATTGGCAAAGCTTATAGCTTGGATATAACAAACCTCCTCGAGATTTGATGAATGTAAATGTCTTCTCTGGTGCAGCATCCTCAGGTTTTGCTGTTAATATATTTTTGCATTCATCACAACCGAGTGATGGCAGTAGACGATAAATAATATAACCTCCTAAATAATGTAGGATAAACTTAAATGTTTCTGGTGTACAATAATCATGATCTAATAATTCACTATCACTAGGATCTCCATAGTATAGACTTGGATCACAAAGCAAATTTTCTAAATGTTCTTCCAATTGTTCTTGAACTTCTCTGAATGGTTTTTTATGACTATGAAGAAGATTTTTTAAAGTAATAAGCATAGATCCTGGATCAGTTTGAACTGATGCTCGTTTGGGAGGACGAACCAAACTGTACACAGTCATCAGTCTGTACAGGTATAAGAACTGTACTGTTGTGGGATGAGAATTGCTTCCACTTCCTTGTCTTATCATTCCAAAGAAACGCTAATTGAAAAGAAAACATAAGTTAAGGTTTAATACAAGATTATATAATCATTACACTAAGTCAATTTTACCTCTAATGGGTCCTGATTAAAGTGAGCTGTCAGGATATAATATGAGTTTGGAAGCAATTGTCTGACGAGTGCTAAGATACTAGTCAGCGTCAAGCGTAGATTTTCTGCTGTCTGGTGGCTCAAAAATCCCTTTTGATCAGTGCTTCTAATCTGTAATCTGAATGCTTCCCATCTATTTAACCATTCTAGAGATTCTTCAATAACCTATTTTTAAAAAGTTGTTAATTAAAACATTTATAGTTTTTGCTAGTGAATCATTACTATTACCTTGAGATCATTTGAATCATGTCTGATTCCTTCCTGTGGCAATCTACGATTTAAAGCATCAAAAAGAGCATTGATGTGACGTATGAAACTTATTGTAACATCTGCATTCTTTAGGATAGCAACCTCACGCTGTTTATAAAACAGCATAGCATCAGCAAAAGTATTACTAAATATCTATAAATATATGAGATAAATAAAAGTATTCTTATCAAGTCAAGATTATATAAGTAAAAAAAAGTGTTACTTGAGCTGCCAGCAATACACTCATTCTCTGGAAGTTATTGGGATTAACATGTATTTCTGTCACTTTGGGACATGCCTTTAATCCCTTTGGTAATTTGGAATCTTCATCAACAACTGCTTTAAAATGCTGTAATTCTACCCTTCCTTCAGGAAACTAAAAGTAAAAATGCAGAATAATGCAATGGCTTATATTATAAATTAGGTGAAAACACTTTATTTTCTTAGTTTTACCTGAAAGTATGTATTTTTCAAAAGATTGTTTCGCATACATTTTAAAATATGTGGTACATCAATAATAGCCAGTACTTGTCTATCTGCAGCAGGGTTTGTAAATGAGCATTGTATATTATTTGTGTCTGCACAAATTCCTAGAGCTTTTAAAGCTGCTTTGTTTGTGCTGGCACCATCACAAACTATTGCATTGACTATTGCACCACACTGTTCTAAATGAATAATTGCTTGCAAAATAAGTTTTGCAACAGTAGAACCTGAGACAGAGCTTTTTGAACAGAATGTGCCAATACATTGTACCCAACTAGCAAAGTGAGGTCTGAACATAAACACTAGGCCATGATCACCTGCTGTAAATTCACTCTGTGGCAATTCAGAATTGTCACCATAATCAACAAGTCCAATCATTTCACCAGTAGCTTTTGAAAGTTCTATATGTTTTTGAAGTGTGATTTCATCAAAAATTAAAACTCCCTGGCGTTCTGTTTGTGGAATTGTCTCCAATTTTGTCTTTAAAACAACAAAAAGATCTTCATCAAATCCAAATTTGGCATTAATGCCTCTGATATATTGATGCAGTGTAGACTGACAGGGTAAAGGCAAGTAATCATTATTTCTCAAAAATTCATAGAGAGATGGTGACCTAATTTTTAAAAGTAAACAGTCAAGTAACCAATTAATGTCATATCTCATACCCTTTTTGCTTTTTATATGGCATGCTTTCAGCATGTGCTCTATTATAAGTTTCTGTCTTGGTGGTAAGGAATCAAGTTTATCAGCTGACAA